CTTTGTCAGAAATTTTTACATTATACCTCGAAATGTAAGGCCAGTTTTTCTTACGAATTTTCGAGCTTTTTTCGAATGAAACTGCTACTATTATATATCGTTCGACTCCTCACGAAGTTCATGAAACACTTTTTGAAGCTGTCGAGATCTGTTCAGCGGTGTGTGATATATATACAAAAAGACCGATTTCGATATATTGCTTAGGATCAACTCCTTAGAAGAGTAGTAGTAACTCTGCGTCTCGTTTATCTCAGCTTCCTGAGGTGTGGTAGTCTGGAAATTCTTACCACAGACTCAGTGAATGATGGGCAACAAAATGCCCCTTTTAGATTTTCAATAGGATCACTTTCATTTTCTTTTATCAATTGTACAAAAAAGTTGCAATTGACTCATATGAAATTGCAGCGGAAGGAATCCTCTATTGTAGTGGCTAGATGGGAAGTCTTGATCATAGCATGCTCATTGTGGAATAAGCCTTCCACATTTCACGGTTTTTGAGATAGTATTTCTAATGCCATGGTGTCCTGGGACACTTTAGTCACTTATAGATAAATTTGTAATTGTTGCGCAAGAAATTCTCTACCAAAAAGTATATCTATCGTAGTGGCTAGATGGGAAGCATTGATCATAGCATGCTCGTCGTGGGATAACACACGCGCTTTTTAATCAATCGTGGAATAAGGCGCCCGCTTTTCACGTCTTTTCAAACAGCATTTCTAATCCGAAGGAGTTGATCGGAGAATGCTCAGGATGGAATAAGTCAGCCACTTTTTAGTTCTAATGGCATATATCTATCGTAGTGGCTGGATGATAAAGGGTGTCATAGATTATCTTTGATTGTTTGCACATAGGAGATTATTTTCTATGGACCGAAGTATTTCTAAACATACTTGGTCTCAGAACGACTATTTCCGTATGTGTGATATACAGAAATGTAGCGCAGAAAAAGAGCTTTCGAATGACATATGATAGTTCTACTGAGCTATGAGATCGAGAGACTGAATAAATGTGAATATGATAGTTTTATCGCATAGCAAGTGAGTTCCGTTGAAGATTGAGAATTACGGGCAGAATTCCGATCTTTTCGCTCCTGATTTAGCAAAAGTGAAATTTCTGAGCAATTGAGAGGAATTTCAAAAAGAACACTTATACTTTTGCAGTACGAATATAGGCCGATCGAATGACGCAAAAATAAACGTTCTATCTTTCACCAAAAAAAACTAGATAGCTTTTTCCGACGAGGTATCTACGTTCGAGATATCCTTAAAGATGCATTCTTTGTGCAATGACATTACAGATGAGAAGCATCAAAAACACATTTCTAATTCAACTTTCAACACTGAATTAGAAAAAGCTCTTTGAGAGCTTCAAAATAAAAGAGAGGACAAGTATTCAACTTTTTTCGGAATGGGAAAGTTTTTCGGATTTTAAGACCCTTCCTAAATATTTTCAATTTTTCGACGCGCAAACGTGCACCGGGAAGGCTAAAAGGGCAATATTGGTGATCAGCTTCCAATTCTCTATCGGATCATATATAAAGAAGCTAAAAATAAAATAGTGCTTAATTTTTGGATTAAGCGCGCGTTACCTGTTGTGACGAAGTTTGAGATCTTCTGAGCTCACTTAGTATATAGTTCTCTTGAACATATCATGACTCCATTCCACTGTCTCTCACACATATTGTTTTATCTATAAAAAGAGTTTTGGTAATCAATTGAAAAGCTGTATCCATCATTTCTATACTCTCGTTTTTTTCTTTCGAGAAAATAGTTGATGACAGTTGCAGAATGTATGCTTTCACTACTAACAGATTTTAATCTTTACATGGATGTTCTTTCGGGTTTGTTTGCGTCTATTTTCTCAATTATCAAACAAGGTACCGACTTCTTCTGTCATTGTCTAATATTTGAAACATACACGACAGAATGCTTCTCGCTCTCTCTGTCTGCTTTATTTGGATTATTTTGTTGATACTGACAAACTTTTTTAAACTGAGAATGAAGGCAGATGTCAAGAATCATGTTTCCGCTTGAAGCAAAGATAGATGTGACTTTTTCAAAACTCATGTTTCTCTCTCTTTGTTAATTATTATATTTCACTTCATTTTTTTACTTACCTTCTAAATAGTACATTACATTTATAATTCGAAAGTAAAGCAGTAAAGCATTCATAATTTAGAAAATAACGACTACAAAACTGCCACGAACGTACGTAGCACTTTTATATTTGATATTTTTTTACATTACATTTGTCAGCTGTCGAGGCGCTGTAAGAAACGTGACTAAAGAAAAAGGCGGATAGACGAAATTATTAAAATTTACGTAAATCTAAACATCGACAAATGCCTGTGGATCCTGTTTTAGGATCCACGTTCTAAAACGTTATCGTCTCTTTCTATCAGTATAAATAACACCAGAATTGAACGCGTTTATTCACTGCACTTACTTGGGATAACACTATCGGTCACTACAGGTCGGATAGAACATCTGGACAAGATCGGTATACATCACTGGAAAAGGTTAGGTTCGATTTCACTTGCATTCGACCGTTTTTGGAATATGTCTGTGTTATTTCTCACTCCGCTTTTACAGGTCGTTTATTTTGAAACGATTTGCATGCAGTTTTTCTTTACAAATCGTTTCAGAAAAAGGTTTTTTTAATTTAAATTATATATTAACGACAACATGTGCTCAGCTTTTCTTTTTTTTACATACAAGCGAAGAGCTTGGTCTGCGTTATAAATAAACTTTCCAATATTTAAACATAGCAATAAAATATGGGTAAATCAGGGCAAGCCCCATTGTATGCCCATGAGAGGGAGGAAAAAAAAGGCAGATCGTTCAAAAAAAAAAAAGTCCATTGAGAAAAAAAGAATGAGCCTACATTAAAGAAATATCGTATGTGTGTATAATAGATGACAAAAGGAAGAGCTTAGGAGTAGACACATTGATCCATGTGTGCCAGTGGGATAAGAGAAGATAGCAATAATAGGGTCTTAAGGCATAAACCGCCCAGTACGTTTGATAAAGTGCAGTATTACTGAAAAGACTGCAATTAATTGCTCAACTGGTAGCTGTCTATTGGTTACATCTCTTAAAAGCAGCTGATCAAGGTGAATTATATCACAATTCAACAGCACCTTGAGTTTTTCGAAAAGCTCGTTCCTCTGCTGGTCGTAATGTAAGCAGAGTAAAAAATAGTGAGTAGTGCTTTCCTTTTCTCCATAAAAACAAAGTGGTGATGGGACGAGTTTATGGTGATATAAAGGCTCATTTAGCTGAGGAAAATCAATCCGAAGACGGAGATGGTGAATTTCAAGTCGACGCTCAGAGACTAGTGGTAGTTTCAACGTAGAAATAAAGCTAGCCGTCAGTTTAGATTTAAAAGTATCAGCCCGATGAGTATACTTGATGTCATCCTGCAGAAGATTCCAAGAAGCGTATGCTTGCCTGATAAATGATCTATCTACGAACTGTCTACCTCGTGGAATGACTGAGATAATGTTGTGACTAACGCTGCGAGTGGCATAGGTCAACTGCGTATTCACTGATATTAGCTCCTTTAGATAACTAGCTGTTTTTCCATACATTATTTTGTGAAACAAACACAATCTATGAACATAAATAAGATCCTGGATTGCTAGCCATCCCAAGTCGTACAATATTTTTTCATATGATGTTCCTCGCATGGCTCCAGAAACTGCTAAGGATGCTTGATACTGTATCTGGTTTAGTGGATTTAGGTCAGCAGCATCTGTCCCTCCATATATAACTATGGTAGCTTATGACACAAAGAACAAAAGCCTTATACACAGAATCAAGATTTTGTCTTGAAACTCTCCTACTCAGATATTTCATCGAGCCAATTACATATGAGCACTTTATATTTATTTATATGTTCTTTCCAACTCAAATTGGGTGTCAGTATTAGCCCTAAATGAGTGTGCTTATCGACATAATTTAACTGGATGTTGTTAATAACTAATGGTGAAGCTGTCGCCAACCGATCTAGCGTAAACAACATTCCTGCACACTTTTTCACATTTAAAAATAGTCGCCATTTCACCAACCATGCAGCGATTTCTGCAAGATCTTGATTCATAACTTTGACAGCAGTTGTGATGCCAGTTGCGGTTATGTATAAAGACATGTCATCTGCAAATAATTTACAAGTTGATCTAACCGATATAGGTAGATTATCAATGTAGATTAGAAAAAGCAGTGGTCCTAATACAGAGCCCTGGGGCACTCCCCACGTCACAGATAGTTCATCCGATGTATTTCCGTCAACCATAGTCGCAATGCGTCTGAACGATAGCCTTACTGGAATCCAAAAACGCTGCTAGTACCGTATTTCCCTCATTCAAACTATTGGCAATAAAATCAACTATTGAAATTAGTTGATTCACAGAGGAGTGAGGTACAAAACCAGACTGGTTTTTACAAATTAAGTTGTTGGTTCTTAAAAAACCATAGACATGACGATAAATGACTCGCTCAAAGATTTTTGATAAAGCTGATAAAAGTGTAATGGGGCGATAGTTGTTTGATGACTGAGGATCATCAGACTTGTATAATGGTATTATGTACCCTAATTGCCATGCTTTTGAAAACCCCTCATACTCTAGTGTGTTATTAAACAATTCTGTAAGAACAGGAACTGATATGATAGCTGCTGACTCTTTTAACATCCTATTTGATATTCCTGATGAGGTTGCCTTCGACACATCTAAATGCAGTAGAATATCAAAAGCCTCAGAAACATTTACGGTAATTCCTGACATAACAATTTTTGACATTGGAAGAGATACTTGGGGTGGAGGAGAATAATTTGCATCCTTTGTGTTGACTGACGAAAAATGCTGATTAAGTATTCGTGCTCTATCAACTGGACTGGTTGCAATCTTTTTAGCTAAGGAATCATACAGCGAGGGGATACAAGAATGTTTAGTTTTACCTTAGCAGTATTTTAATAAGTTCCACCAGGATTTAGATGTGTTTTTCTCCTAGAAGAAATCCTTCGAAGGTAAACATCTTTCGCAATCGAAGTCTGTGTTTCTAAACAATTATTAATTTAATTACTCACCCTCACCCTCCAAATATTTTTTATTATCAGCTTGATTTCCTGTCTCCTGATATTTTTTATAACGTTTTTGCTTAATTCGATGCAATTTCCTTAACTTGTCCGTAAACCAGGATCGCGATGTCCGTCATCATGATCGCGAGATGAAACAGTTATCCATTTATTAATTAAAATGGTGTTGGCTACATCCAAAAAGTTTTGTTCGAAAGTACTTACTTTGTCCTCACGGTTGTTCTACGATGCTAACAGTGAATTCCAGTTTACTGAAAACAGTTCAGATCTAAAAAGTTCCCAATCTGAGTTTTTGTAATCATAAATCGTCGTTTATAGGAATACGGCACTTGTTTAAAGTTAAACAAAGTGAACTCTACCATACAATGATCACACGAACTGCATAAAGAGGATAAGACGTTAACATCAGAAACAGACGCGATATTATTAGTAAATATTAGATCTAAGCATGATTTTGAGCTAGGTCTGATTGGCTTAGAGACAAGTTGGGCTAGTCCCATCAGTCGCAAAGTCGAATAGTTGAATCCCCTCCCTAGTTGAAGGTTTCGATGGACACCATTTAGCACAATGACCGTTGAAGTCACCAATTAGTATTAAAGAGTCATTCGCCATAGACGCACTTAATCCAATTTTTACCAGGACATCAGCTAAATGATCAGTAAAGTCAGACATAGGAGCAAGGTCGTGTGATCTGTAACATAGCCCTGACAAACAGAATTTAGACGATGGCAACTGAATAATCAAGAAACAAGATTCAAATTTTGGATCCTCAAGAGGAATGAGCCTCTTGACCACAATATCACTTCGAATGTAAAACAATAATGCTCTAGATGTTCGATCCTTCCTTAAAATAGAGTACCCAGGCACATTCAATGCATTGTCTGAGTACGATTCTGCCAGCCAAGGTTCACAAACAGCCACTACGATAGGCTTAGAGGAAATAATTTGTGAATGAAGAATATCAAATTTAGTGGCTGACAACTTCTTTTGTGAGTCGACCTTACCTGAGATACTGCATGCATTAAGAAAAAGGACCTTCGTCTTTTCGGCTTCAGCCTTTTGCCCTATTTTTTGGCTATCTGACATCTGACTGTGTAACACATGGGTCAATAGTAGAGCTATTTAAACACAAATTCCTTATTTATACACGACCGCCGAGGAAAGTGAAGAAAAAGTAGTCAATACCAAAATTGTTCACTGATATTTTCCCTGTTAAATACATTAAATATCATGTTCTTCTTATTCATCTTCTTCATCTAATAAGCAATCAACATCATTTTGTGTAAATAAATCAACATTCTTTTTACCATCATGATATATGACAATTCCATTTAATGTACGTACCTTTTTCTTATCTAATTTTGATTTGGCGTATTTAAATAATTTATAATTATGTGGTATCAAATCTTCATTGATCGATATTGGTTTGTCCAAACGTTTTTTGTTCATCATTATATTTGATTTGGATTTATAATGAATAAATCGAACAATAATTCCACGTGGTGCTTGATTTCGTAGTTGCTTTTGATTATTATTACTTCCACTACGAATTAAACAATGACACACAGAAAAATCACCAGATGTAATATTGACACCTATACTCCAACATGTATCAATCACTAGTTGTTCGAAATTTTCGCCTTGTACTTCTGAAATTCCATGTATTCGAAGATTTAAACGACGATCATATGTAGCTAAATGATTGTGACTTGAGTCTAATTTTTCTAAACGATCTCCCTACAAAAAAATATTTTATCGGTACTGGTTGTGCACGGGTGCGCACCGGTGCCGAATAATTATTTTTTCTGGGCACCGATGCGCACCGGTGCCGAAGTTTTGTTTTTTCAATCACCATTTTGTTTTGACAATTTCTGTCCATATTAACGCTACGGTCTACTTCTAATATTTCGAATGTCTTTCTGACTTCATTTTTTCCTTCTCATAAGAGAAGTGCCGAGGCAGTGCCGCATGGTTTTGGCATGTCGATGTGGTACTGATCAGTGCCGCACTCTAGCACAAAATTCAACATAAACAACCATAATAAAGAACTAATTAAATTAATTAAATAAATTATCAGTGCGGCACCGATTTTTGCTAGTGTAGCACCCATGCGGCACTGATTTTTACCAGTACGGCACTCTTTCAGCAGAAATATATCGGCACCGGTGCCAGCCAGTTTTTACCAGTGCCGCACTGGAATTTTTTTTATAGGGCTTCCAGTAATTTGACACGTTGTTGTAAGGTGCAATAGCTTTTTTAATCAAACTTGATACGCTCTCAATAAATTCTTTTGATTGAAATATTTGTCTTGCCAATTCGTGCACACCAATACCGATATCTTTATCTTTATCTTTATCTATCTTTATCTATCTTTATCTTTATCTTTTACACCTTTTTGTACCATCTCTTTTCTCCTGCAGAAAGAATAAGTATCATGAAACAAAAATAGCTATATACAGTTTTCAGATTAGAATTGTTGAAATACCAATCTTTAGACAAATGTCAAAAATATCGTAGACCAACGCTACCAGCAAGAACAAAACGGAACTATATGTGCAAGAAGAGTAAAGTGAAAAGAGAAAGAATACCAATTTGTTTGTGATTATCATTTTGTATTTTGACATTTACCTCGTTTTGAATGGTATTTCGTAGAACAAGCAACATTTGCTTTTCGACAAGGACAATGTCTGGTTGCACATTGCGATTTACAATCGCAACTGGCACCACTGACCGAACCACGAACAAAGAGCTTAGATGCTTCTATTAAAGAAATTTCTTTATCAAGTTCAAATACATTGAGTGATTTCAATTCGTCAGGACAAGTTGATCTGAGGTCAATAATACTTTCGATTGAAAATTTGTTTTGTAACAAACCATGTTGACAACATAAATGAACAATAAAGTCGTTGTCTTTTTTTGCTTCTATTAGTCCTTGTTCTTTTTTTTAAGTCTTGGCTATTGAATCGCAAAAACCATAAGATTCTATCGCCTTTCGTTCTTGAGTTATTCAAAAACTACTGACGGGCATATGAAAATCTATCAGTAGGGAACCTATTCGAGGTACTCCCGGTGGAACTCGCACATAGGACCGCGTTAATAGTAGAATTAACTTGTTGTTGTTGTATAACCATTGAATTCCTTGTATATCAAACTGGTTTTTATGAAATTTTAATATACTCTAGCAGAAATATACTGATAGAAGCAAGCCTCTAGAACTCGGTGTCCCCGACCGACCCATTTTAGCGAAATCTACAAATCGCAGGATCGACTATGATACTACACGTAGTGTATTTTAGCAGTATATTTTAAATCGCCATTCTAATGCTATTTTCTCATTGCGTAACCTTCCTAAATTAACACAGGTGATTTTTCGAATCGATACTAGAACGAAAGAACTTTACATTAAACTTTTTTGTTTCATTCTCTCTTCTTTCAACAAGATATAATACTGTTAGAACAATATTGAACATCAAAACCTTAAAAACCGCTCTAATTCAATCGGTCGAAGTTTTTAAATTTGACCTGATTTGAAATAATTATTTTGACGACTTTCCATGAGGCAGGCATTGGACACCAGTGGCGTGAATTTCGTTCCTTTTTCATATAAGCATCGTAGTTTCATTCTCTCATGTATCATGACTTGTTTCCTGTTTGTTGGAAAGTTCAAATATTAGTAGAAAGCTCTATGGAATAGTCTGTCTCTTAAGATCGTGAACCTAGAATGTGATCAATCTAAAGGATGTACCAGGGCCCATATTTATAAAAGCGATAGACAATTTAATGCTCTACAAGACTGTATATTAATTGTTAGAATTTATCTTTGATGTTTGGCACGGTAAGTCTAACAGGAAAAGCTCCACATTTTTTAACTGCATCACGCAGTTTTAAAGTGCAAACTGCTCGTCTTTTTTAATTGCTTGTAATGAGTACAAAAGAATCTGAAATAATTTTATTACAGTCAAATGATGAAGAATTTCATATTTACAAAAGCGTTACTTGAAAGAAATTTATTACAATTGCTAGTGGCTTTAATATATAGACCTTCAAGTCCACCGAAGTTTCTAGCACTAAAAGAAAGTTTTGACTATTCCAGTAAGGCGCGCCTAATCCAAAAATCAAGCAGTATTTTATTTTTAGCTTCTTTATATATGATTCGATAGAGAATTGGAAGCTGATCACCAATATCGCCTTTTTAGTCTTCCCGGTGCACGTTTGCGCGTCGAAAAATTGGAAATACGGGAAGGGTCTTAAAATCCGAAAAACTTTCCCATTCCGAAAAAGGTTGAATACTTGTTCTCCCTTTTATTTTGAAGCTCTCAAACAGCTTTTTTCTAATTCAGTGTGGAAAATTGATGTTTTTGATGCTTCTCATCTGTAATGTCATTGCACGAAAAATTCATATTCAGAGTCAGCGTCAAACACTGAATCGAATGATATATGATTTGAAAGTTTCCGTTGATCTTCAGTTTTTGGTGAAAATCTCAGTAAATAACGAAAAAAACGGGAAAGCGAAAAATGGTCGAAAGAAAATAGGTCGAGCGAAAATTGGTCGCGGTGAATTGGTCCCCACGAAATATGGCCGCTAGGAAATATAGGCGCTACGAAAATTAGTCGAGAAATTTTTTTGTAATAAAAGAAGAAAAGCTTTTTTTTAAAGAAAAGAGTTTCATTGAGACGAATAAGTTAAACAGATGCAAGAAAAAAGAACAGACCGAAGTTACTTAGGAATCTGTTGATTACTTCAAAGGAGCAGATATTTCTCTGATGTTAGCAAATTATTAGAGACTATAATTTCTTTTAATATTAAAAGTATCAGATCAGCAGGTTGTTTCGGGGTTA